ATTAATCACAGTCATTCACTTTTTATCCCAGCCATAGCTCCCTCTCTCTTTCTCTCCCAACCCTTCCCTCCCTTCCTCATCTCCTCCCTGCCCTTTTCCAAGTCCTGTGCTAGGGGAGGTTCTCCTCCCCTTTCATCTAACCTTAGCTTATCAGGTATCTTCAGGACTGGCTGCAATGTCCTAATCTGTGGCCTAGCAAGGCTGCTCCTCCCTCAGGGATGGGGGAGGTCAAAAAGCCAGTCATTGAGTTCATGTCAGAAATAATCCTTGTTCCCCTTACTAGGGTACCCACTTGGATACTTAGCTACCATGAGCTACATCCGAGCAGAGGTTCTAGGTTATATCCATATAGGGCCCTTGGTTGGGGAAACAGTCTCTTAGGAGACTCCTGTGCCTAGATATATTTGGTCCTTGTGGGGCTCCTGTCCTCTCCAGGTCTTACTAACTACCCCTTCTTTCATATGATTACCTGCACTCTGCCCAAGGTTTGGTTATGAGTCTCAGCATCTGCTTTGATACACTGCGAGGTAGAGTCTTTCAGAGGCCCTCTGTGGTAGGCTCCTGTCCTGTTCCTTGTTTTCTCCTACTTCCAATGTCCATCTCCTATCTTTCTAAGTGAGGATTGATCATCTTACCCGGGGTCTTCTTTCTTGCTTATCTTCTTTAGGTGCACATATTTTAGTATGTTTATCCTATCTTATAGGACTATGTAAGTGAGTATATACCATGTGTGTCTTTCTGCTCCTGGGATACCTCACTCAGGATGATTTTTTCTAGATTCCACCATTTGTCTAATCTCAACCTCTCACCTCACTGTAGCAGGACTGGAATTACAGATGCATGCTGTAATACCCAGCTTTATGTGGGTTCTGGGGACCTGAATTCAGGCTGTCACAGTTGGGGGACAAGTGTTTTACTTCTGAGTCTTCTCCCACTATTCTTTTTTTCTTTGAAAAGTATTAAATTTTTTTTTATTAATTACACTTTATTCACTTTGTATCCCCCCTGTGGTTTCCTCCCTCCTCCCATCCCAATCCTTCCCTTACTTCCCCCTCTGCCTGCATGCTTCCCCCCTCCAAGTCCACTGATAGGGGAGGTCTTCTTTTCCTTCCTTCTGATACTAGTCTGTTAGGTCTCATCAGAAGTGACTGCATTGTCTTCTTCTGTAGGGCCTGTCTCTGACATGAACTGATTGGCCTGCTCTTTAATCACCTCCCTATGAGAAAGGAGCAGCTTTACCAGGCCACATAAGAAGACATTGTTTATCCTATCTTATCCAGATGTCCCCAAACTGAAGAATGGATACATAAATTGTGGTACTTTTACACAATAGAATACTACTCAGCAATTAAAGACAAGGAAATCATGAAATTTTCAGGCAAATGGTGGGATCTAGAAATCATCATCTGGAGTGAGGTATCCCAGGAGTAGAAGGACACACAGTATATACTCACTTATAAGTGGGTACTAGACCTATAAGATAGGATATGCATTTGTCTTATCTTTGTCTCTAAATATTTTTCTTTCTATAAGTCTACAATTTTAATTTAATTACATATGCAGAAATATATTATTATTTATTTTTTTAGATTACAGTTTATTCACTTTGTATCCTGTATAACTGTAGCTCCCCTCCCTTGTCTCCTCTCAACCCCCTTCTCCCTGTCTTTTCTGAGACTGATACTCCAGCCAAGGCCCACTCATGGAGATGGCCTGGAACCCCTGCACAGAGGTAGCCTATGGCAGTTCAGTGTCCAAGTGACCTCCATACTAATGGAAACAGGGACTGTCTCTGAAAGGAACTGATTGACCTTCTCTTTGATCACCTCCTCCTGAGGGGGGAGCAGTCTTATCAAGCCACAGAGGAAGATAATGCAGCCACTACTGATGAACCCTGATAGAGTAGGATCAGAGGAAAGTGGAGGAGGACCTCTCTTATCTGTGTACTGGGGGAGGGGCATGGGTGGGAAAGAGGGTAGGAGGGTGGGATTGGGAGGAGAGGAGGGAGGTACAGCGGGGATACAAAGTGAATAAAGTGCAATTAATAAAAATAAAAAATCAACCCCCCCAGAAAACAAAAAGAAATGCTCAACGTTCTTAATCAGGAGGGAAATATAAATCAAAACGACCCGGAGATTTTACCTTATACCCATCAGAATAGCTAAGATCAAAAACTCAATTGCCAACACATGCTGGAGAGGTGGAGAAAGGGGAACCCTCCTCCATTGCTGGTGGGAATGTAAACTGGTACAACCACTTTGGAAATCAATCTGGTGCTTTCTCAGAAATAGTTTTTATAACAGGGTCTTACTATTTAGTCCTGGCTGGCTCTCTAACCCAAATATAAAGCTGCCTGGATTTCAACAGAGATCTGCCTGCCTCTGTGTCTTAAATTCTGGAAATAAATGAGTATTTGAAATCCTATTCTTAAATAAAGTCACATCCACAGGTACTAAGGATTAAGATTTCAATTTCATTATGGGAAGCAAAGTTTAATAATTAATAGATGTAAATCAAGTGAGGAGAGAGACATGCTAAGTCATGTGAGATTACCAAGAAAAAGGGTAAAACCCCAAGCCTTAAAAAACAGTAATAAATAAAAATTAAAAAAATAAAAACAAACACACACACCCGCACACACACAGAAAGACAATAATGAGGTCACTACTTGAAATATCTGTGGAAACATTGTTAGGCCTTAAAAATAGTATGAGGCCATCAGAGAAACTTCCCTGCAGCAGAGAAACACAGAGAGAGAATCCTTAGAACACACAGCTCTAAAAGAGATGTCTCCATAAAATCCTTGCCTTCAGAGCTCAGGGAAGCTATGGAGGAGGGGAGGAAAGAGTGTAAGAGCCAGAGGGGATAGGGAACACCAGGAGAACAAGGCCCTCTGAATCAGCTGAGCTAGGCTCATATGATCTTACAGAGACTGAAGCAGCATTCACAAGGCTGACATGGGTCAGAACCAGGTCTTCTGCTATCTACTAAAGCTTTCAGAGTAGTATTTTTATGGGACTCCTGAGTGTGTGGATGAATGTATCTCTGATGCTTGTGCTTCTGCTTGGGGCTCTTTTCCTTCTGTTGGATTGCCTTGTCCAGCCTCAATGTGATGGTTTTTGTTTTATCTTATTATGTTTTATTTTGTTATGTTTTGTTGTTCTTTCTTAGAAGTCTTTTTTTTCTAGTGAGACCCCTCCTCCAGAGGGGAGGAGAGGTGAGGGAGGAACTGGAAGGGGAAACTATCATCAGGTATGTTGTATGAGCAAAGAATCTGTTTTCAATCAAAGGGAAAAACAGCATGAGAAAATACCCCATGAATTACCTAGCAATCCTGTTTAGAATCTGAGGTAAAATCATTAATTGATTATGTTATGCATGATAATTCATGGCTATGAGCTCACTATTACTAGCAGAACAAAAAGAATACTATGATAGTTCTTAATGCATATTCAGTTTTAATTGACAGTAATTATACATATATATGGCTTAAGATTATAGGTTGACACTTAAATATGTAAACTCAGTGTGTAATGGTTAGAATAATAGGCACATCTGTCATGACAGATATCTATCATCTATTTGTATTAGGAATATTCACTGATTATTTTGAATTATTCAGTCCGTTGTTGTCAATCATGTACTTTCGGAATTTTGGAGACTTGGAAGTTTAAGGTGATGTACCAGTTGGGCTGTGTATACATACTTTGTAGATCTATTTTTTTTCTAGAGGTTTCTGCAAAAACTTTAAGGTTAGGTTTTAATTTATGAATTTTGAGGAAGGTATGAGGACTCATTGCTGTGTGCAAACAGGAATTGCTCGACTTGCTTTCAAGTTGTCATGAAGCAAAAAAGAAAATTTTGAAGTGTTTGCAGATTAATGATATTATTTGGCAAATGTTCATTATTTTGATTCCTGTGAGTTCAATATATATATGACACCTATGATCTGCTTCAGTGGGATTTCTCTTTTCCAGTTCTTCAATACAAATTTTATTGATTAATTTTGCTATTTGACAATTTCATAAATATATACAATGTATTCTGAGTATCCTCTTCTTACATTTTTCTTTTATTTTAAGTTTTTCTTTTATCCCTGTCAACTCCCTGAATGAAAGCAGTCTCATTCATTATCAGAGAAATCACTTTTTCCCTTGGAGCATTCATTCTATGTTGTTCAATAGAATCTATAAAGACTGCTTCAAAATATTAACCTGATATATATTTAGACTCAATAGCCTCACATCTGCAAAACACTAAAATATTTATAAATAAAAGTAAATATCTTAAGTTGAGACTGAAAACATGAATGATCTTTAGGTAGTAGAACACTGTGGTCACTGAAGTTTAAGAGCAAAGGAGTAGAGCTTCTGTGGATACTGACTTCTGAATAATACATCTTCTAAAGAGTAGCAATTTCTTTTAAAGGCCTATAAACATCTATTTATCAGACATTCCTATACATATGTTAATTCTAATAATTGACAATCTGCTCCAGTATACTGAGTTCTGTATTATAATTTCTTTGCTAATGAGAGAAAGAACCAGATTGCAAACTCAAAGAATCATCTTAACAATTAGTGGCATTCATGGAGTTAAATTGTTTTTCCTTTGGGAAAGAAATACTTCTTTCAACTTGATTTTTTAAAGTAGACACCTCGCTTTGAGCCACTGCTCATGTGAACACTCCAAGTTTAAAACTGCTGGGAATTAACTTCCGGAACTTTGTAAGGAGAAGTGGCTGTGATGTCACAGACCCTTGAGGGAAACTTCTAAAACTGAGATTTGTTCTAACAGAGAGTAAACAAGAAAGATGAAGAGTGAACATGATGGGATCCAACAAGAATGTAGTAGAGAATGCAGTAATTTATGAAATTTTTCCTGAGGTCAATATAAAAACTCAATGAAGGAAGCCAAAGACTTAACCACCTGGTACATTTATGATTCTTAGTGATTAATTATTTGAAGACTGATAAATTTGGATATCGTTGGTCATAGAAATGGAAGAAAGTGATGAACAGCCTATCTCGTTAGGGAAGCAAGAAATTAGAAGGAGAAGGCGACCCAGCCAACCAATGGTAGATAAGTCACAGCAGACTGAAGCAACAGAAAAAAAGAAACCCATGGCTGTACTACAACCTCCTGCCCCCAAAGGTACCTTCAGTATTGATAATATTTCTGGAAGCAAAAGCACCTATCCTGCAAAGGAATATGAGCCTGTAAGACTGTCCTCTCAACTTCAGAAAACTTGGGTGAAGAGAAAGTGTGGCCAGATAGTGACTGACAAATCATTGCAGACAGACACTGCTGTTGAAGAAAAATTGGAAGTCATATTCATTGATAAATCACTTACACTTGAAGAAAACCCAGAAACAGCTCCAGAATTTCCACTGAGTGTTCGAAATGCAGAGATTCCAACAAGCAGAACCTGCACTCATCTTACAGACAGATCTCAGCAGACCAGCTGTACTGGAGACTGGAGTGTGGTGAATATTTGCCCAAAAGCTAAAACAGACAAAGAACAACAGACCTACTTCAGTGAGTTAGAAATTACTGTCATGTCTATGCCAGGTAGCTCTTTGAGTAAATCAAAGGAAGAAGTAATACCTGTTGAAATAAAGGCTTCTCTTGAAATAGATGTACTGTCAACTGAAAAAGTCTCTAATGTCATGATGTCTTTCACTGAAGGGGAGATTTCTGCTGAATTTCAGGCCCTACCAGCTGATGAAGCCACAGCTAAAGCAATGCTCTTCCTTACAGAGGAGATGCCTAGCTTCATACCGTCTCCACTTGAAGAGATCTCTGCAGCTGAGACAGCCACTTCAACTATGAAAGTTGCTGTGAAAATACAGCCTCCATCAAGTGTTGAGCTTCATTCTGTACAGAGCTCCCTTTCAGTGCAAGAGGCTCTTCCACATGAGCCTTCCGATCAACAGAATCCTGAAGATGTTGAGGTGGCTCCTTCAGAACTTTCTACTGAAGTTCTGGTTCCATTCACAGAAGAGGTGCTTGGGAATGTTCAAGCTTCAGCAGTTGAGAGTCTCTGTGAAGAAACCTCGGGTAGTGTAGAACCTACTCCTGGTGATGTGCAACCTCCACCATCTGATGATGCATATAGTGAAGTTCTTTATGGATTACAGTCACCACCAGCTAAGCAGTCAGTAGAAGAGGACTCTGCAGAAGTTGTTCCTTTACTAAATGAGGAACTTCCTACAGATGAGGTCTTTGCAGCAGGTCATCCTCCATCAACAGAAGATGCTCTCAAAGAAGTGCCTCCTGCAGAAGAAGTTCTGCCTCCACCAACTGAAGACGAACCTGAAGAAGAAACCTCTGCAGAAATTCAGGCTCTACCAGCTGAGGAAGCCCCTGGAGAAGAGACTCCTGCAGAAAGTCCACCTCCACAAACTGAGGAGAGCCCTGCAGAAACTTTGCCTCCACCAGCAGAGGAGAACCCTGCAGAAGCTCCATCTCCACCAACTGAGG